ATTCTCCTGCCTCAGCCTCCCGAGTAACCGGAATTACAGGTGCCTGCCACCAAGCCTGGCTAATTTTGTATTTTAAGTAGAGACAGGGTTTCTCCATGTTGGTCAAGTTGGTCTCGAACTCCCAACCTCAGGTGATCTGCCCACCTCAGCCTCCCAAAGTGTTGGGATTACAGGCGTGAGCCACTGCACCCTGCCACCTTTACTTCTTATATGAATTGTGGTCTCATTTCTCCATGCATCCAAAAGTCAATTCCCTTTAGATGCCCTACCACCTCCTATAACTTTTCTAAAACGAAAATTGCATTTCCTTTATCTCCAAAATCATTATTTCCTTATCCCCATGCCATTTTTCTTAGTCTACAGAGCCCACAATTCTGTTTTGATTCTTCCTTCTCTTGTACTCAGTAAGCAAGTCCTCTTCCCAGTTTTCTCTCACCATAGTTTTTCTGTGCCCATCCTTTCCTGAACAAATGGCTTGGTCTCCTAGTCAGTTTTCCTATGTTTAATCCTATCTTCTCTCAACAAATACAGTTATTCTACTCAAGGCTTTATAATAGCTATCACCTCAAATATAAATTTCTCAATCTGCCAAAGTCCTCCAAAAATTTAGCCTTATTTTGTTCCCTCCACTCGTACGTACACCTCCCTATTGGTTAGTATAACCCCTGTTCTTATTACATTTGTCTCCATATTGCCACCCACCACCCCCACCAGATGCTTACACCTTCCATTTGGTTTGCTAGTCTCATTTATCACCTTCTCTACCAACTGAAAATGAAATGGACCTTTTCCACAAATTTCTCCCAACTTTTAGAGCTTGTGTTTATATCACATGCCTTTTGAAGACTGCTTTAGGAATACAATGTTATTTTTTTTTCCTTTCTTGTTTGAAATATGTCCATGTAAGAAGGAATTTCATTTTCTAACTCTTGGACTAAGTGAATACCTTTCTATCACCTCACAAAGTCTGTATCTTCTACTTCCTTAGCATCCTAATAAACTGTAGTTCTAGTAAAGGCAAAAAGATCTGTGACTTTTTTTCTTTCCAAGATGGAGTTTCGCTCTTGTTACCCAGGCTGGAGTGCAATGGCACAACCTCGGCTCACTGCAGCCTCCGCCTCCTGGGTTCAGGCAATTCTCCCGCCTCAGCCTCCTGTGTAGCTGGGACTACAGGTGTGCGCCACCATGCCCAGCTAATTTTTGTATTTTTAGTAGAGACGGGGTTTCACCATGTTGACCAGGATGGTC